TGATCATGAATGATCAGGGAGGACTGAGTGTAATCGAGATGCCCCTTCTTTAGTATATAAGCCTGGCAGAGAAGCCAGCGATAGAGAGATAATTAAAGAAGCGAACAGTAGTTACGATAATATAAAGTGTGTTTTGTACTCCTAGAGAGTGAAGTGATCGATATTGTGAATCGCTGTGATTTATAGCGTGTATTATAAAAGTCGTTAAGTTTAAAGTGACAAGAAACGTACTGACTGTGGAAATTCTGTGTTCTAAAAGTTGTATCAAGGAAGAGTAAACTGGTTTAATTAAGAAAGAACTTAAGTTTCTCGGAAAGAATTTCTACCGGAAATTAACAAGCAAGCAGATACGTAACATATATAATCAACTAATATACTTATTTACCAAATGGTGGTTGCATAAAGTTTAAAAATACTACACCTTTGACTCATTTTAAGGAAAGTTTCTATCATACATCATAATTTTTATTTCATCCACTGTACAGCTGTTAATATGAGCACCATCATTAACTTCAAAAGCTGTTTGTGATTCCCTGTGTCCCCTTGTAGAACTATTTAAGACTGTCTTTACATAAACTCTGTTACTTCCCCCAGGAGCTGGAGTCAGGCTCTGTGTGACAATTGACCATTCCAGTTCAAGATTAGGTGTCAGAGCATTAAAATAGCAAAATATTTTTTACAATTATTTGTGAGTTTAAAATGTACACATTTTTAAAAGGCTTGTTATTTACATAATATACAATGAAGGCCACCTTTCTTTAGTTATTTGTGTTGGCAGGAAGTGTGAAAAGCATTATAAAACTGTATTACAATTAGTTCAGTTAGAAATATAGTAAATTAATAAGATACGAATTTTTAAAACCTGATTTAATGGTAGTGATTTTTATCTTTCATTAACTACCTGCAAAAAATGTATTCCTATACTTTTTTCTTGTAATTTGAAAATAACAAATATGTAATTATGCCACCTTTTGTTACTCTTGATGATAGTGTCACATGCCTGAAAAATTTTGCCAGGGCTCTAACTATGAAATTTAGTACTACACTGCTTTTACTAACCAACTATGT